ACAATCAACAAATTACTTGATAGAATCAATCATCAACCAATTAAAAAACATACAAAAAAGCAAACAGTTTAAAATATTAATACAATTAGGGAAATTATTATATAGATCAGTGTTTTTCAACCTTCTTGAATACACGGCCCCTCTACAAGTTAAAAAAATTCTGGCGACCTCCCAGGGCCATATTAAAACTATATCAGTGATTTTAAAAGCTACGTATTTAATTTTCTTTCTGTTGAGACCTAAATATCAATTGAAAAACCAATTGTACTTTAAAATAAAAACACAAAGCCTTCTCACTGAAATTGTAGTTTTATTTATTGTAGTGTAGGACCTACAAACACTTGTCTTTTTCTTTTACCCGTAACCCCCGTGTAAGGCTTGTTTTTCAACCTGGGGGTCGCACTGATATAGATAACCACCTATGGAATTTTGGGACTTTGAGTATCTATCTGAACTGAGGGGACCGAGACGACTTCAACGATACCCTACTTTTGGACCAGAGACGAAAAATAAAGTTATCATACTTTTTCTGGTGATCGCATGATATAATTGTGCAGTTAATGTTACCTATGGTGAGTAAAATGGCGGCTCGTCTCTGGTTCCAGCAAAGAGAAGAAAGGAAACAGTAGGGACGCATGTTCAAACTTAACCTAACCTATTCTAATAATTTGGTTGGTAATAATTATGGTAATTTATTAGAATAGGTTAGGTTAGAACATGCGTCCCCACTGTTTCCTTCTCTTTGCTGGAATTGGAGATGAGCCGCAATTTTACTCACCATAGGTAACATTAACCAATTGTGCTTACATATTAGTGCAGTCTAAAGATTGGTGACACTTTGAATTTCATAGCAATTGGTTTTTGCGACAAGCACACCTATTTGTGGTACATTTATTTGTGGCAAAGATCTTATTTTCACAGTACCGAGTGTTTAGCAGGTAATGTGAGGATTACATAGATACTCTGCACATAATCTAGGTAATTTGAGAAATGGAACAATTTTCACAACTTTAACGGATCACCTTAGTTAATCTGCATATTAGCTAGGTAATGTACACATTAACGACTTTCAAGCTTTAGCGGTAACATATACAAGACTTGCTGATAAAAGAATGTTGATCATTCTCTCTCATTGTGATAAGATTTTTCTTTTCATATTTAAAAGTTATTTTTGTGTCACCATTATGTTACTCTCTGAAAGAAATTTGTAGGTGTATGTAATTCCTCATCACTTGTGCCTTCTTCAGTTCTCACAACAGTCTTTATATAATGTTTCATTCTTTCAATTGAAATAAACCAGAAAAATTTTCCAGTTTATCATATTATACTACAACTGTAATAAGCTATTGTTTAATAATATCTTCTAGTTTAATTACTGGTACAAATGAACAACATTACTAAACCTTTAATTACTATTGTTTCATTTCTTGACATATTTATTTTAAAAAAATACATTTATACTAGAATAAATTCTAGATATACTTGGATGCCAAATTGATGGATATGTTTTCACCAAAAAACAAACTCCAGTAAATTTACTGACACTACAGATTAAAGACTGAAAGAAGGGCATTGAATTATAGTTAAGTTATTCATAATTTGGAATTTAAACTGAAATTTGAGTTCTGGTTTTGAAATATTGCACTCCAAAACAGTGTAATGTTCAAATTTTGTAATATTCCTATGTAAAACATAACGTTGCATGCAATACTATCATAACTACCAAAAGGCCAAAAATGAATGTATACTCTGGGAATGCAGAAGGTGACCTCTATCTGGGAAAATAAGATTGTATCTGCTGTACTGTATGAATAGCCTAGGAAAGTTGAAACCTTATCATTTGTAACTATAAATTTGAAGATTCTTCTGTGTTAGCTGATTGAAAGTAACATTATGGTACAATGGCAGAAAAGCTGTTGTTAGCCCATACCTAAACATTGTAACTAAGCTTATGATTGTATTTAACTCGGCTGTGTTTACTTGTGAATTTGGGCTAGGAAATGCAAGTTTGGTCTCTCAAAATTTTTTTAAAGTTGTTTGTAATGTTAAATATTACAAACAACTTTATTATTACATATTATTATTACATATATATACATATTATTATTATAAACTTATAAATTTTACTAAAATCATCCTATTCTTTATCAGTAAATGAATTCTATTACGAAATACATTAATAAAAATTGAATTATTGTATTTAGGTTCAGTCTGAAAATGCTTATTGAGCAAACAGATGAACCATAGCTCAATCTAACTTCTCAGATACAGCCACATAATGCACAACACAAAATTCATATACAAAAATGTGCATAATGCATTTTTTGCATATTCAATAAGACCACAAAAAATTTTGTTGATTATTAAAAGAATCTCTACACAATGTAATTGGCATTATGAAAATGCCACAATGCTTTGTGGAAGCTTATTGATGCAGCCATGACACAATGTGATTATTATTTAGAATAAATTTATTTTTAAGAAATCTGTTACTTATTTTTAAGTGATATAATAAAATAACTGATTTCAACCTCATGATTATGAAATTGGCACAGCACCACAGATTGAATATGCAAAAATGCATTTGTAAGTTTCTTATCATGACACTTTAAAAAATATGCATTTGTGGCTGGATCTGAGAAGTCAATGTGCTGTGGTCCATTTTTTCTCTAGATTGTTTTTGGTCTTTGAGCATAATATATTTAAACTATCTATTATAGTGTTTGGATGCAATTATAAAATAGTCTTAATACTAAATGGCACAAAATATGCACACATTTTTGCAATAAATTTATATCTTTTTGTTAAAAGCAAATTATACTGTTTAATTATTGACCTATTAATAAGTTGCAAAAGATCCTATTCAGTAGTCAAAGATTTACTTTAAGCTTTTTCTTTGAAACATTCTAAGTTTCTGCTAATATACAGTGAATGCTGTAAGAGAGATTGAACCCCAAAAATCAGCAACTCTGATTCCTATATATATAGTCGGTGATTTGGTGGGGAGTTATTTGCTGTGACTTGATTTTTAAAGTATAATATAAATGACAATACACAATTCAGCATAATAATTTTTATTTGTGAAAAGTGAGGTCCAAGTTGCAGGTTAAATGATTACTATAACAAATTTTGATAAATTGTTTACAAATTAAATAGCTGCTTTTTTCATAATTTTGTGATGTAATGTGCATAGTTAAAAGAAATTGTGATGCTTTTGGCATGAATTTTGCTGTATGCTTTCTTTACTAAATCAATAGTTAATAACTATAAATGATGAAAGATGTTATAATATCTAATTTATATAAATAAAAACTGCAAATTTATAATGAAATTTTCAAAGAAAAAATATCCATCCCAACAATAAAACAGGTTTTTTTTTTTAGAAAATTTTACAAAGACATATCTTTTTCTCTGAAATGTACACTTTTCACAAAACTTGTGATGTGAGAATATAAATTAGGGAAAAGAAACTCCTGTTTTTCTGATATTTGGTATGATCATGTTGGGATTTAGAGAAACATATCATTCAAATTTCATCATTTATAGTGCATTTTTTTCTGAAACACTGAAACACTATTACCAACATAGAAGGCACAAAATGGTATTGTGTAAAGTACCATAAAGAAATAAAACAATATAACAAATTGCATGTTGACCATTTAAGGGGAAGAAAAAACAGATAATTCTGTTTGTAGAAAAGCTATATAATAGATGCAACCATAAACAATGCAGGTATTACATAATGCACAACTGCACAAAAATCACATTGGAAATAAATTCACAAGTAACATTGTTTCTAAACTACAATATGAGAAGTTAATAAAAATTTTCATTGAAATGGATATACATATATATATATATGGAGATAAGGACTGGCAGTGAGGAGGGGGAAAGTAAGAATTACTGCATTAAAACTATATTGCATGTAAGAGAAAAAGAAAAAATTCATTTTGGAGTTGAAAAATATATTAAATAATTTATCTAAAATCTTTTGTGTAGCATTTATTGTGTTAAGTTTAAAATTTATTTTAACAGCTTGTTTTTTCATGTAGTGAAAATTAGTAGTATATTATTTTCACTCTATTTGCATATCTTTCTGATAGTAATCAGTTCAATTGATTATAGAAAACTGTGAGTATAAATTGTGCAAATGCAAAATCAGTTATTTCATTAAATTAGAGATCAAAGTAAATTAGAAATTAAAATGAGAGAACTTAACAAAAAACATCCAAAATAACTAGGAAAGAAACAATATATACAATACGTGCACTTATGCCAGGAAGTGTTATTTAATAATTGAATGGAAAAATGGGACCACACTGGAATATAAGATCATATGTAATCTAGATTATGTTTAAGCTAAAAGTGAAGAAAAATCATTTTTACATTTCTGTATTTTGTATTTTTTTTTTTTTTGATATTTTTTATTTTGAAACTATGTAGGTAAAGTGATCAATCTTGGGTCACATTTATGAGAAAATGTTTTAGTATGTTTTCTGGGCAAATGTAAATACTTGAAATTTCATTTTGAGATATTAATTTTTCAATAATTAAATTTTGTACATAATACAGAACATTTTTTGAGTTCTGAAATGATTTTACCACCATTATTTTTTATGGAATTATTAAAAACCATTTTCTACTCAATGTACTAAATGCAGTGCGTGTTATAAATAGGATCAGCTTAAGTATTTTTTTTTCAAGACAGCAAAGAAAAAAATATAAAATACCTTTAAATTCCTCTGTAAACTATAATTTTTCTGTTAAAAAACTTTTGTATGATAACTATGATTGTATATTTTATACTGTAATATAAATATTATATACAGTGTTTGAAACAGACCTAAGTTTAACGAGCATATTTATCCTTATTAAAAATAATTTGAGATACTATGTCAATGCATAAATATATTATGCACAATAGAACTGCCAAATAGAAAATTGACCCAAACTGGTCACTTTACCCTTCAACAAATGTTATAATCCTTACAACAGTTTGAATGGAATACCTGTTTTTACTAAATCTGTTCTAAAGCATTCTTTGAGTGATCCTAATAACTTCCACCAGACACAGTAACTTATTTGAAATTTTTACAAATCTTTGCAAATTCAGTAATTTGATAACCATTTTGGCAAAATAACAGAATGATGTTCCAAATACAACTTACAGACTAATATTGCAATTGTACAATCAGTCTGTTTTATTTTTTCTTGGCAGTATCTATGTAATTGTCTCTGATTAGCTTGTGACTCTATTGCAGTGAAAAACTTTATGCGATTGTTCATTTTTGGGGGATGGTCAGAGACAGGCGACGTGGTCGAGGCATGTCATACTCTTCCATTGACAGCGTACGTCTTCGACCAACTGCTCCAAGAGCCTTGGGATCTCCTCCAGAAAATGTTCTTTGCCTTTCAACGCCAGGTAGAGTTACAGAAGTTACTATTAAAAAAAACATATCATTAGAAAAATAGTATTTTCCTTTAATGCTCTTAAGTTAACAAAATTTACTCTGTATTATTTAATTCCATACTTTTAACTAATTAATTGAAAAATATAACTTGCAATAAAAAAATTACTTACAAAACCCAAGACCTTTGACAAATAAAAGCAAGCTTTGAGCAAGTTTTTCGGGCTGAAAAAAAAGAGAGAATATTAATTATTTACGTATCATTACATAAAATTTGAAAAAGTATTATACATACTGCTTGTGCAAATACATCGCCAACACTATCTAATTTTAAAAATGCTGTCTTTTGTTTATCCATTCTACCATACAGATTCTCTACAGCTTGTAAATGAGCAGCTCTTCCTCCACTGATCAAAAGGACATCCATATTTCTTAAATAAACCATTATGTATTAATATTCATGTATTATTGAAATTATGTAAAATTCTATACAGTATCAGGTATTAACTTACTTGAGATTAGTTTCAATGAAAGAAGTGATATCTTTTCGACTAGAAAAAAAATTTTTATTTATATATATAAATATAGTAAGTTTTATTGTTCAAATGTCAGTTAACTTATTTTTACTTCATATATGATTCCACATAGCGACGTAAATTTCGTGGATTTATTTTATTTTTCAGCTTTTCTGTGTAGTCTTGTATCAGTGCTTCTTTGTTTTCAACACTTTCCAATTGCTATTATAATAATAATTTAATGTTTTATTATATATTTTTACAAGTGAAAAAATAAATTATTGTATAAAAAAACATTTTTATAAATAAAAAAGTACAAAGCTATATTCAATAACTAACTTCTTATAAATTAACAATAGAAATTATAAATATGATCTAGTCAATATTCTACACAGCTTGTTCTTAAAATATATAAAAGTAAAATAAAATTCATAAGTAAAACTTTATCTTTATGATTATATAAATTACAAAAGCAGAATATATTTTTAAATTTTACATGCAAAAATTATGTGAAATGTGAATTTAAATTAAGAAAAAAAAAAGGCAATACTGCCATGCAATCTGCCAAAGTACCATTGTGCAACTGAAATAAATATTTAAAAAGTTTTACACAGTGTATTGCATTCCTGATATATTGTGAAATATGTAATTAATTTTTTAATTTGTATGGATTTAATCATTTCAAATTCTACAATTTACCTCCTTTATTTATGAAGTGGTTGGATACGCATGTTGAAGATCACCACGTGATACGACAGAAAGATAAATAATAAAAATTTAGTTAGTTGGAAAAAGTTAAATATCTATTGGATAACCAGGATTATTATAAGAAAATACTAGAGTTTTATAAGTTAATATAAAGAACTAAACTTTTAGTTAAAGATGTGTATTAGAGATAAGGACTGGCAGTGAGGAGGGGGAAAGTAAGAATTACTGCATTAAAACTATATTGCATGTAAGAGAAAAAGAAAAAATTCATTTTGGAGTTGAAAAATATATTAAATAATTTATCTAAAATCTTTTGTGTAGCATTTATTGTGTTAAGTTTAAAATTTATTTTAACAGCTTGTTTTTTCATGTAGTGAAAATTAGTAGTATATTATTTTCACTCTATTTGCATATCTTTCTGATAGTAATCAGTTCAATTGATTATAGAAAACTGTGAGTATAAATTGTGCAAATGCAAAATCAGTTATTTCATTAAATTAGAGATCAAAGTAAATTAGAAATTAAAATGAGAGAACTTAACAAAAAACATCCAAAATAACTAGGAAAGAAACAATATATACAATACGTGCACTTATGCCAGGAAGTNATTAATGTTCTGATTAAATTTTTAAGCACTTTTCTTATAATTTAAATTTAATCATCACAATATAAAAAATTATCAAGAGATCAGTATTTGCAAATGATTTTTTCCCTGTAAATTAAAATGAGCCATTGTTTTAATTTTAGTTATAAAACTGATATTTTAAATATTGAAACAGTAAAACTTTGGAAATAAGTAAGAATTATTTATCATAAGATAACAATATAATGTTCAAAACTGAAACAATCATAAAAAAATGACTCACCTACAAATTTAATAGTTTTTACAAACCTTACCTGTCTAGAGTAAATAAACATTTTGATAACACTCAGAAATATTGAATATAATGTCATTTTGAAAAATAATTGATATAAAGACAAAATTTTGACCTGAAATTTTTGATGTTAATTGCATTGTTTACTTAATATAAATTTATATTAAAAATTATTATCTTTTTATTGAATTTAAAGTTTGTTATAAAATGTTACCATTTCAGAGGTTAAGGGTTAAAAATGTAATTTTTAATTCACAATGGTTTATATATAAAAATTAATTTATTAATACCATTTTATTAAAAATTGAAAATTTAAATAAAAATTAATTCAATAGTAATAATATAAAATGGCTTACAGCTCCAAATTTGTGAAGCACTAGATATTGTTCTGCAGAAGGATTCATTCCTACATTTGTCAGCTTCCAATTCATAATCTGATATAAAAATTTTTCACTTAATTAAATATGCTTACATAATATATCAAAATTCTTGAAAAATTTTCATTTAAAAAAATACAAGATCAATTTTCTATTTTTCCAATAAATAGAAACAAAAAATGAAAACTTCTAAGATGACTAATTAAATTTATTGATAAAACAGCAGTTCTTTAATAAAATTTTATTATAACATTTTAATCAAACATCTTTTGAAAGTCAAATGCAACTGAAGATGCAGCAACAAATTAATTTTAAAAGGTTCTCAATTGAAAAGTGTGATATGTCATAATTATAGCATTGATTACTTAAGAATATGAAGTAGATTATTAATATCATTTAACAGGAATTTTCAAACAATATATACATAATTATGTTTTTATAAGCAAAATGATATATCTGCACAGTAATATAGTACAGTCGGATAACTAGTGAATGGTCAGATTATCCAAATACTATTTGACTCTCAGGTATTACTAGCATTGCTGTCAAAAACAAGCTTTCCATTAATACAAACTCCAGTTCCACTTCCTACTAAACATATCTTGGACATAATATTAAAGATTGTTTAGCTCATTATCTTAGAGTACTCAAAAAGACACGGTATATTAAAGTACAATACTATATAAATTTGATATAAAAATTAGTTTCCTAAAATTTCTCAACAAAAATACTATACCAACCAATACATTTCCCACAAATTCAGTATGAAAGCACCAACTTTGCCATAATAATTAGCAATTATTTATTGTGACAATGGTGGGCTGCAATTTGTAATCATATTTTCCATTTATTTTATTTAAAATATATGCTCTCTACCTCAAATTAGTAGTGTCTTGCCCCTGTACATCATACTTTTCCTGTTAGAATAGAGTCCTGCAATCATCTATCTAACTCCTTTCAAGGGAAAATTTTTGAATTGAAATAACTTGACTTTGATGCAAACCAGGAGTTTGTATATAGTTAATTGGGGTCTCCTGCCTCTAAGCTTTCCATATTTCCATATCTGATCCCAGCTTTCATCTATCTAACTCCATTCTTGAGATTAGGGAAAGACAGATGGATGGACAACACTAGGAATTTATAGATCTAAAATTTTTTCAAATTGCAGCCCAATTACCAGTGATGGAAGTATGTCCACATGACAATATGACAAGACAACTGAAAATTATTTTAAAAGGAATGACTATTAATTTGACAACTCTACAACACAATATATCTATATATGTTTGATTAATACAATGTATTAATTTCATGTAAATGTTTTCTTTCTTCATGATTAAATCATTGAATTCACTTTACTTTCAATAATCTAGCAATCTTCTTAGTCTCATACAATAGATCCAAAAATAGTTTTAGTGATACAGAAAGGAAACAATATGCCTTGCAAAATTTTTTTACTACTTCATTCAGGAAAAATTGCCAGAAGGGTAGTGAATTCTATACCCCTTAAATTCATTTCTGGCTCTATTTATTAATAGACATAGCCTCTGCTCACTTTTTAGCTTCAGATAGTTATCTGCTTAAGAAGTAAATATGTAAACTTTTAATAGATACATCTGGAAGATTTTCTAAAAGAGTGAGTGATGATAAATACAGAAATAGCTGATAAATTGCTCTTTTTATATGATAATTAACATAAATTTAATACTTCTAATGCTAATTTAATACAAAATAATGTTTAATTAATGAAAAATTAATTTAGAGAAATTAATTCAAAAAGATCTGATCTGAATGGGAATCAAAACAACAGTAGTCAAGCTAGGAAGGCAAAACTGCCAATTACAGTTGGAAAGCCTAGTATCCAGCTTGTGAAAACTGGTAAGCAATTCATTTCATTTATTCTGCTTCTATTATTATTTCCTTCAGAATTTTCTGATTTGCATAATGGAAGGGAGTTATTAGGAAAAGGTCACTGTCAAGTTATCAATGCCAGTATCAATCTATCAATGTTTGGTATGAAAAATCAAAAGTGCTATGTAAAAATTGTACTTTGAAAAATTTATTTGGTAAGTTTAAAGTTAGAAAGAAATTCTATGGAATGATGACACTGAAGATATGGGTTTTTTAAAATGGTGTTCATGGGAAGCATGTTATTCATTGTATTGTCTGATTAATTAAAAGATTTTGCAGTATAGGAAGGACAGAAGTTTTGATCATTATCTGCAGAAGTAATGCTTGATATACTTCAGAAAATTTATTACTATGTTGTTTCATTTACTAAATCCAGGCTTCACTGTATCTGTGTGTTTATGTATTTATGTATAAAATGATCTAATAAAAGTTGTTTGAATTCATAGAAAATTCATGAATTAATAGAAAAGCAAAATCTAATATATTAGATTTTAATATTCAAAATATTCTAAAGAATAATTATAGAAAAGTGATTTTACAGAAAAAAGTTTTGTATATTGTAAGAAATATTATGAAAAATTAATCTTAAAACTAATTATTTTGCTTATTTTGTAAAATATGGATTTTACATAGCTGTTTTATAAAATTATGTAAATAACTTTGGAATTTCCATTTTTTGTGAATTTAATACAAAATACTTATAAAATTGTGTTTAATAGCATTGTGTAAGAAGTAATAATAAGAAAAAGTTAATTACTTATTGTGACAATGCTGGACTGCAATTTTTAGTCATTTAATTTTTAAAAAATCATCCAGTACAGACCAGAGTTCATATATAGTTAATTGGAACTCAGTTCCTAAACCTTTCATATCTGGTCTCAATTTTCATCTATTTAACTCTATTCTTAAGATTAAGGAAGAACAGATGACAGTGGGAATATATCAATATATAGCAGTGACGTGCAGTGATATTTGATGATAAGGAAGCTGTGCCAGCCCTGGAAGCATTATATGATACTTTGGTGTATAGCATCCACGAGCTAAACCGCATGATGTTGGTGCTCTGTAAAGCACATGTGCAAATGTATATAATCTGGCTGCTTTACATGATTCAGATATTTTTTCCATGGAAGCTATCCTGTATTCAACTTCTGTTGGGATTATGCTTATATGAATTTATATTCGAATATGCAATAGAAATCTTATCATTTTTTCACATGTAGTATAGAAATTTGTAATAAGATACATAATGTAATTATAATAAAATATTAATTTTAATTAATTTAAAGTTTGTTAAAATATGAAAATAATTGCACAATATGTATTTATATTTTAGAAAATATGAGGGAAGCTGCTTCCACAGCTTCCATGGATGGTATGCCACTAATATACAGTCAACCCCCCTATAACACGGTAGGTACATTCCGTTCTTTATGAAATTGATGTTCTAAGAGTCCTTAAATACAAGAGCCAATCACAGCCCGGCCTGTATGCAGTTTACAGACTATGGCTGTTTGAAAGGTTTTCTTCCATAAAATTAATTGATTCTAGACTAATTCGACTCAACATTTCCAAAATATGTATAATTTTTTGGGAATAATCCATATAAACTATGCTATAAATAAAAAATTGTAGGATTACTTACCAAGTGTGCACCATTCAACGATGCCATTGCTTAAGCTTGTTTTCGTCGTGGAGCTTGTCATCGAATGGTGCTCATGTGCTTCCTGATAAATTATTTTTTTTGTGAAAAATTTGCTGAACTTTGGAGACATCATTAATATAAATATAATTTTTATGGACGTTAAATAATAAATGGTTTTTAGTAGGTCTGCTGCTTGTTTAAACTCAACGGTTTGTACAATATATGCTATTGGTCTAGATTCGACCAATCCTGTCACAACACGAGTCAGCGATGACGTTTTACCGAATTATATGAGTTTTTTAGTGTGTTTGTACGAATACTGTTGCAATTTTTTCGCCGTCATATAGGAATCCGAACTATACGAACCCGTGTTATACAGGGGTCGACTGTATACATTTGCAATTTGAAAACTGCAGCCAAAATATCTGTTTTATGAAATTATAAATAAAATATATTATTATTAATTCAAAATAATATATAACTATATATTTTATCCTATTTTATATCATTAAATTCTTCCAAAATCAAAAGAAAATGCATAAAAAGGTATAATCCAGCATTCTCCTTATTCTGACATTGTTCTACAATAGCAGATCCAGAAATATTGCAATAAATTGGATAGATATAAGACTATGTAGGATTAACAAACTGACTACCAATCTTGGCAGATTTAGTAGTGGTTTGCTAATCCTATATGTATTGGGTTGTTCGGAAAGTGATTTCATTTTTTTTTTACTGCTAGACGGATTAGTAGTATTTTTCCCGCTATTTTCATTCTAAACCGTATTATCATTATATATTTTGACAGCTAGCATTTTAAGGCTTATTTGTAAAAAATTTTGTTTGATTTTATGCAATTGTTCATTTTTTGTGTCCCATCAAATATGGAAGATCGAAAGCAGCATTTTCAGCATATTTTGCTCTTTTATTACCGAAAAGGTAAGAATGCTGTTCAAGTGAGAAAAAATTGTGTGACATGTATGGAGAAGATGTATTGACAGAACAACAGTGCCAAAACTGGTTTACAAAATTTCATTCTGGCAATTTCATTATGGAAGATGCACCATGTTCTGGATGGCGAATTGAAGCCAATGAAAACAAAATAAAGGTACTGATTGAAGCAAACTGCCAAATAACAACACATGAAATCACTAACAGATTAAATTTGTCAAATTCAAAAACAATCATATGTTGAATACTGTATTAAATGTAATGAAAAAGAATATATTAAGTTAATAAAAGTAAAAGTAAATCATATCATATATGAATAGAAGAATAGTTCATTATTTAATTGTATCATTGAAACATTGCTAAAATGTGAATATAATTTAATTCAAATCTTTCCATAAAAGGATTTTGAAAACACTTTGATATTAAACATAAATTTCTGTTTAATATTTCAAGACTTGCTGAGGAGCATAATAAAATAAACAAGATTGAAAATAGCATTAATAGCCACACATAATTTTAAATTCTTAACAATAAAACAAAAGTTACAAAAATGATAATGTAATCATAAAAATATAGTTAACAGAATATAAAACTTTATAATTAAAGTTAGTTTTCTGGAAATGGCAAAGTAGTTGAAAATAAAAAAATAACATGTTACTCAAAATTTACTAAATATAATTCATAACAAATTTAAAATGTTTAAATTTATACCTTATCTTTGAAATATTCCATTATACCAACACCAGTTGCAACACAATGAATAAGAACTAAGCCAAGAACTCTTGAAGGATGAGCTATCTGAAAAATTTCATATAAACAATATTAAAAGATTTATTTTTAAAAAGTTAAATAATAATAACAGATAATATAACATACAGCAAACCTGACAAGAACATTAGCACCAGCTCCTTCACCAAATCCAACAACTAATTTTATTCTGATAAAATAAGATAATGAAATTTATTTTAATGGAAACAGTTTAAATAAATAAAAAAAATGTATTTTAAAAATTTATTAATATTGTCACAGGACAAAATACAGTTTATTGAAGTCTCAAATTAACAAATGTTAACTAATTAATGTCAAAGCAAAAGGAATAAAAGTTTGTCAATTCACATTCAGAGAAAGTCCAATGCATTCAAACATCTAAAATCAAACTCTTCCTTAAGTGCATCAGACTTTTGAACAGAATCAACAATTTTTTGAAAATTGATGGGGATCATCCAATCAGGTTGATCCATGCCTTACAAAATCTGTGGCAATATAACTTACTGTAAAATACAAAGTGCACTTACTTCAAATAATCTAAAACTGACACCAAATCTTCTCCCAAAATTTGAATGGTAGGAAATGGTACACTGTTATAAAAAATAATAATAAATAAATAAACAGAACATTGACATTTTTATGCTACTATTAACTTCTGATGAGTTATTAAAGTATTTTAGATTTTCATCTAAATATAATCATAATAAACCCAATATTATCAATATAATTGAATGCTAAACACACCTTTTAAAGCTGTTTAGACATTTTATTTTTAAATATTTGAATTCAGTTTGATTTGCATATTTCAAAAATAAGTTGAAAGCACTTAAATAAAATAAAGGCAACAATTTGTTTCAAGAGAAAAGTAATTCTTTTGGGGTTTTCTTTCATTCTTATCAGCCAACTAAGTATTTAGTTGGATTCATCAAATTAAGTGATATTTAACATTATTATGAATTTTCCAGTAACATTTCAAACAAAAGTAATCAACAAATACAGGGTGAATCAAAATTATGTGAACACTATTTAAGAGAAAGCATTTACTCAAAGTTTGCATTATACAGAGTCTCAACCTGACCACCAGTGCGATTAGGGCACTCAAACCAACGTTCAACAGTACAGTTTAGACCTACATAATTCTGACCTAGATCTAACATAGTATATGACAGACACAAACACCATCAGGCAGTCTGACTTGGAAGGAGCTCCCTGGTCACCCTAGTTATCTCAACCAGGATAATGTTGACAGAACTGCATCAAACAGCTGGTGATTACTGATCTCTTTGGGGACAGGTATGGCAATCAAGAACCCTTCCAAGACCAGGTCATAAATACAAGAAACTACATGAAGCACATTTTAAAAGATCACTAATAGGGAATCCCATACCACACATAAAACTGTAACATTATATTGGTTTCAAGCTTTTAACACAAACTGACTAGTTACATCAACTTAAAGAGCAATATAACACATGAAAATACAAACTACACTCAGCAATCATACTAAGTACATGCCAGACAATCATAGAAAATAACACATACAAAATATTATGGCTGAGTCATAACCACAGACAAAAATCCATCACAGAACAATCATTGACAAAGAAAATAAAATCACAATCATCATGGAAACAGCTGTTCCAAACACTCACAACATACAAAATATATACATTGAAAAAATTAGCAAATACTCATAACTCATTCATGAAATAAAGTGTTTGTGTAGAATGGATAAGTTACTTTTTGTGCCAGTAATCCTTTCTTGCACATATGTCATAATTAGGCTTTCCTGCAATTACAATAGATATCCTATGTCCTACATGAAAGCTTAATTGTCCTACTTTACATTTGTAAACAAAAAAACTTTATGTTAAAAAATATAGTCATTTTAAAAAGACACAAGAACATTCAATTAATTTCTGAATGCACATATAGGATTTTGTTGACACAATAAAAATGTTTGTTGACAACGATAACTTCCACCTATAATGAAAAGTTTCATTTTGCTACAAACTTCCATTTTTATCCATGAAGCACTACAGTCACCATTGGATTTTCTTGAACTTATTAAAGCAGAATTGCTTATAAGTCACTTTTAAAAACATTCCATACAATTTTTTGAAAATGTACAGAATGATGTAGAACTATTGAAATATGCAAAGAAGGATAAAAATATAAGTTCAGACATAATGAATGAACAATATATATATATATATATCTGTATATATGGTGTGTTATATTCAATTATTGATAATAATTACCTAAATTATGTAGTGTAATAAATTATCGTTAATTGTCACCTAAATTTATCTGAAATAAACCATAATATAATTATTGATAACTTTCTTTTATCAAACCCTCCTTTTTTCAGTTATTGTTTTGTTCTACATTGAGCATCTGAACATGTGGCAACTCTAGTCATAATTCATACATTACACAAGTTCAGAAACAGTAGGCTTCACAACAAGACATGCATCACATTACAGAAAGCAATCATACTAAACTCATGCCATCATTTTTAAACATAGATACATGCACAAACAGTATATAAATGAATTACTTTTTCTAATCTAGCATAGCATTAGGCACTGATATTAAACCAAATAGGATATATTCCATCAAGGGGCCACCCATTAATTATTTTTACAATTTTTGAGTAATTTTTGGATTCTCCTTCCCTGTTGTGTACAATGATGTACTTTTGGCAAACCTCCTCCCCTTTAATTACATGTATAAAAATGTCTTGAATGTTAGGGGTACAAAGTATTGTTCATGTATCCCAGACATTCAAGAAATGACTTCTTAAAGTTCTACAAATATTTTCTAACTGATAATTTATTCAAGCAACAAGTAAGTAGGCTTATAAGGACAAATTTATATGTTCCTAATAGTAATACCACAAAAAATCTGCATAGAGAATACCTTGACCCCTTCCTTCCACACCAAAATAATAATAAAAATGAATATCTTTAATTAATTAGTTATAATCATAATATATTTTTAAGAAAATCTATTTTACCATCTTAGTTAATAGTATAATAATATTTTTTTAACAATCCACGAAAAACCTTTTTTTACGAGTGTTATGTCCGTAATAAATTCCACAAGTACTTTCGACCTCCACTGAGGTCTGCTTCAGGTGGTGACTGGCCATGTTTCGTCCCGACCGTCGTAACGATGTTGCCAACGATGTAAATAAATAAATGTGCACGTCAGTTTTCACCTTTCCGACTGACACTGTTCGAATTCCTCGAACAAATACTTCCACGCCTGTGCGAGCGTTTCCCCATCCTTGAAGTTGATGCAGTTGTCCCCTGATAGCTTTATGAATCTCCCAGGCCTCCAGGCCTCCTGTTATTATTCAACGCAGTGTTAGATTGTTGGAAGTCGTTTATCTTAATATTTTTTTGTTCTAGAGCTTAGATATCTTGCTTATCTGAATAATTCAAATTTAAAAGCTGTACAATATGTTAACACTGGATCTGTCAGTAGTAGGACAATATTTGTAGAGTACTGTGATATTAAAATATTAGTTTCATTGTAGAAGCAAAGTTTCCTTACATGATTTAGATATCAACTTAGTCATTGGATAATTTTCCATCTTGTAGTCAACCCTTATGCTACAGATGTTTATGCATGTTTGAAGCTATGTTTAGAGCATCATAGAAAGCTTTAAACATTGTAATTCTAATTCTGATGTACTCTGTATGATTTTTAAAACTTCTGCTTCATACAACAGATACAATTACATAAAATAAACTTTTTACAAAATAAAGTTTCTTTTTAACAACTTATATAAATTATAGTATATAAAAGAAATCATTTATATTTTAGAAAAATACAAAAATTTAATTATTATTTTAAAATATAAAAATTTAATTTCTTTTAATTTTTATTTAATGATAAAAATATCTTTATTTTAGTTTAGCATTGAAAGAATCAATACAGATCTTTGGATTTGATCACTATTCACAAATTGATTATGATAAGCTATTATTACACTGGATCCATAATAATAAAATTTTTAAAAATAGATTATATAGATAGATATATGCAGATTGATTACAGTTTTATCAGACAAATGAAAGTAATTCTTAACATCTGTAACTAGAATATATTAGACTTACCAACTTATCATTTTTGCTAATATATTCTCCATAAAATTTGACAATTTCAACCTTTTATTTACTTATATATAAGTAAGTAAAAAGGCAATCTGTTTGTATTTTTCATTCACATATATATATTATGAAGAAAACACTATTTTATGTTAAATGTTGTCAATATCATAATGCCAGTGAGGTAACATAATACTTCATATCAAATTGAATATTCCGTGCTTAAAAAATTTGAATTTCTTTTCATATAATCATTCGAACCTGGAACCAGTACAAAAAACATTCCAGAGAATTCAAAATATCTGATGATGGCCTGTAGAACAGGTTGAAAACGTTTGTAAAACAATAAATATTGTTTCTCAGAGACATAAGGTGTGTCATAGTATGCTCTTTTATCCCAAATTTGTAGTGTTTTGCCCCTGTACATCATACTTTTCCTGTTAAAATAGAGTCATATTAGTCATCTATCTAACTCCTTTCAGGGGAAAATTTTTGAATTGAAATAATATGACATCCAGTTTGCATTGGAAGTTTGTATATAGTTAATCTGGGCCTCCTGTCTCTAAGGTTTCCATATCTGGTCTCGGCTTTCATCTATATAATGCCATTCTCGAGATTAAGGAAAGACAGACAGCAATAGTAGGAATTTATAGGTCTACAATTTTTTTTCAAATTTCAGCCCAATTAATGAAACACAAATCCAAAATATATTAGCTGAAATTCTAATTTGTTATTAGTCTTTATGATTTTCAGTTTTTCTTTAATTATCTACAAACAAATAAGTCTGTATCTATTGCATAATTCCAAAGAAACCACTACATTAAAAATTTATTGTTATTTTTAAAACTTTAATTAAATAAAATAATATAAAAAATAATAAAGAACAATGAACATAGAATAATATTTGAAAGCTTTTAATTTTTATTTAAAATGCTCTAGTTGTTTTACTAAATTCAAACTTTGTATTCAGATCTGAAGATGGAGCAGAACTGCCCTAAAAAAACATTTAATCCAATAATAAATTCTGACTTTATAAGTATAAGACTTAATAATAAATTCTGACTTTTTGACTTTATTCTGTATAAGCAAATCTTTTTATTATTAATTTGATAATTTTTAGATTCATAAGATTCATCACCACAAGAAAATCAAAATTCAAAATACAATTTGAAAAATTTAATTATTTGATTTAATCTTTATTCAGATTCTACAGATTTTGTATTATTGATGTCAGATTTGTTTTCAAAAATATTTCATGTGAATGATGTTTGTATGATCTATCACAATCAGTATAATGCAGAAAAGAAAATTAAAATATAATAAATACAGTACAACACAATACAATAGTAAACTAAACTGTGTTGATAAAAGTACTGCATCAACTTAAGAAATTGAAATTATTATTCTGTTAAATTAATAATTTCTTATTTTTTAAAATGTTAATTATTTTGACTTTTGTGTAATGTGATCTAACAATTATTTAACCTACAAGTGAAAATATACAAACATTGTTTTGTTCAAGCATTGCTAAAATTGTAAACTGAAAATTCATTGCTCACAGATCTATCAGAAGATAGATCTTTATGTTCAAATATGTAAATTAAAATTTTGGCAATGCTTCAGTAAAACAGAATATTATGTCATAAATTCACCTAAATAATTATACTTCATAGTTTTCATAAGTCAAAAAACTTTGAATATCTGAAAACTATCATTATTTAAGTGAATCAGTTAAAAATGAAGATGAATTTATACCACAATGGATATATTATGACATAAATTAAGAGAAGTCATAATTAGAATTTTTATATACAATATATATAAAGCGAAAAAATTAAAATTGCAAATGATCAATTTGATGTCATTATTTTATCATTTTCAGCCATAGCTTTAAATTATGAGAAAATGGACAAAATATAATGAAAGTGAATATGGTTGAATAAATACATTTAAAAGTATAAAAACGGTTTTAAGATATATGACAAAACCTTAAAGTTTAATTTTAAACTTTAATAGCTATGATAGATTAGAATAATCTATACTAATATTATAAAGAGGTAATGTTTGTAAGTATGTAAGTAAGTAAGTTTGGATGTAGCAGGTAATCTCCGAAACTAGTCATCCGATTTCAAAAATTCTTTCACCAATATTTAGAATGGTACTTCAGGGTGGACATAGGCTGTATATTATTCCGTTAAACATTCATATAAATTAAATGACATCATCTATGGTTAAGGCTTTTATGTCCAGCAGATGGCGCTACGAGTACGACGCCCTAAGTTTGCTTTTCTGTGAAAATGAACTAAAGCAGATCATCTTCTATTTATCTATATAAATAAAAATGTAATGTTCGTTTGTTCCTACCGATTCCTTTGAAATTTTGACACAACGCTGCATTCGAATACGCACGTGTTTTTATATAATATACGTGTCGAAATTCAACCCCGGTGAAGGGAGATGATTAGGATTAAGGCTTACGGTAAAGAACTCTGCTTCTATTTATACTATTTTAGATGCAAGTTTCTGCGTTTTTGATTGCGTTTTAATAGGGTACGTCAACAGAATGTACACTAAGAAGAAATTTTTCGAAAAATCCCCCCCATGGGGGAAGTCTTATACATTTATAATAGATACATTTTGAGCCACAACAACGCGTGGCGGGGTCTGCTAGTCTATGATAAAATAGCTGATAAATTGTGAGCAATTCTAATCTAGAACAGCTACTAAGTTAATTCATTTGTACAACTCCTTCAAATGGGCTTGGTTGTCCAAAAATGCTAGAGAATAACTTGTAAATAAATACGAACTCCAGTAAAGCAGTTCATTGGTTTTGTTATACATCTTAAAGAACAGTTATTTTTCATTAATTGAACACTTTTTTCCAATTAGAATACTTCTTAATTTTGCCTTAAATAAGTGATAAGAAGATGACAGTTATAATAAAATTCATATTTTAATAAAATTAGACCTTTCTTTTTAATCTGTTCTGCAGGCACTAAGAATGCCTTTTTTCATGCCTATAGTAAGTTCAACCTGTCCCACAAAGGTAGCTGCAGGGTAGCAAGAAACATGACTAGATATATCTGGGACAGATCATCCATGAAAAATTCCTGATGTTCCTGATCCAAGCTCAAACCTCGGTTCTCCAGAACAGCAGGCTGACATCTTTACCTTCCTGTATATTCAACTGGAGTAGTTCTAAATACAGATGCATTACCTCCTTGTTTTGTTTGATACAACAAGCAGAAAATTTCATTAACAAAGGAAGTTTCATATAGCTCCCAGGGCAAATATTATTTTTAGACAGCACAAACTTTATAACTTTATATTTTAGTTATTTATATTGTATATGTATATATACAGTATACATGTATTTGCATATGCATACGTGTGTATATATACAAATACATGTATACTTATTCAAACATTCCATATTGAAGTTTGGATTATTTGAAAATTATTACTTTTTTTTGCTAAGATGCTATTGATATAAATGGCTAGAAACAAGTGAGAAAGGTTTTGTCTTGGTCATCTTAAAATAGTTCTAGTTCCAAATTCATAGAAGTGTAATATGCTATTAATTAACATGGCTATCCAAAAGTCCCAGTACACTGTACCATTTCCATCTAGATAGATCTGCTGTTGGATCATTTAGTGTCTGTTTTGCAAACTGTTGGCTTGCACTTATTCTGTTAAAAATATCCACGTAAAACTCTATTGCACCAATAAATATTTTCCAATGTGTCCATTCCCTTGTGACAATTATTGGCACAATAAATTTGTTATATATACAAATACATGGCAATATAAATCAAAATTTTTATTGCTGTAAATTTCTGTTCAATATCAAGATCATAATATAGATAATTTTATACTTTACTATTACAATTTAAATCGCTTTGTTGAAATTTTCAATTTTATAGTATTAATTAATGACATGTATTTTAATCTATTTACAGAATTTTAAGTCAGTACTGTATATATTGTATATAACAAGTTTGCAGGGAAAGGAAGAAACTTGTACTAACTTATAGCAAGCTTAAGCCTAAGGTAGTGTTACCACCCCAAATTTCGTAGAAATTATGAAATTACAATGAAACAAAGTTCTTTCAAATATTTTTACAAATTTACACTATTTTAACAGCGAACTCACACTCACTGAAACTCATCTGCAATTCTGCCATGTTAGTCTGTTTACGCCGACGTGTGGCACGCAACCCGTCGACTTTTTTTTGCATGTACGATCGTACACGTCTCCAACAATATCCAACAGAGCTGTCATCTTTACCTGTTCTTTCTTAATTTAGGGTTACTTACGTTATTCCTACGCAAGTCCCTAGTCCCTAACTCTAACTGATTTAGAACCGGCATGTACATTATTCTTTGCATCGTAAAAATGACATTGTGCATGCGTCAGGAACTTCTGTTCGAACAAACCTAACCTGCCGTCCGGGTCAGCGATTTTGAAAAGGTGGTAACACTAGCCTAAGGAAATAAAAATGTAATACATAATAATTTATTCATACAATAACAGCGCTCAAAAACCAAATAAAGTGTCCCTATTCCCCCATTTTATAGCATTATTATCTGTATCTGTATCAATTATCTTTAAAATTTCCAAATTAAAACAATATTTAATATATAAATTCTCTTTATTGTAGATTTCTACATTAAATCAATCAATCAATTTTGACTGATGAATTTACAATAAATTTATAATATATTAAAGTAAAATAAACATTAAATATATTAATATAATTACATATATATTAAAAAAAATGATCATAACTTACTCATTTGGAAAATCTCCAGCATTATCTTCTTGGCCAGGAATATCAACATGAACAAAAACTGATCGTTGTTTTATTTCAAGCATACATGGATGATCCACAAAATCTTTAAATGATGAATCTATGCAATTATTTAAAAAAATTAGTCTTTTTCAAAACAATAAAACAGTAGCAATGAAAAACTATTTACGATTGCTTCCAATATCATGAACTGTGAGAAAAACAGCCTTTTTTTCAAGATTTTCCAAATCTCCCTAAAATATAAAAATTTTTAACATTAAAAACAGCATTACTCAAATATCCCTCCTTAATTAATTAATATCCACAGGACAGAAAAATTAATTAAGAGACAAGTATTCAAATATTTATAGTTTTAATAATCACTTCTAATTTAAAATGTAATCTTTTTAAAAAAAATTAATTGAAAATACAGTAGCAATCTAACAAATCTATTTCATAATTTACATATAAATATTCAATTCCTTGAAAACTTAATATATTAAAAAGCTCTTAATAGTTACAATAGTTATATTTGATTCAATTAAAATAGCAGCAGAATCATCAGTTATGAATAATAAAATTCAGATTTCTGATGAATATATAATAGATCTTTAGTATAAAAAAATAGAAAAGATATATATTAAAAAAAATATTACATAGGTTCAAATTAATTATTTCTTTGTGGATCAGATTTATATGAGTTTTACAAATTTATCCATTCTTTATTCTCTGTTCTATACAAATATTCTTTATTGCAATTTTCTCACTTTTGTAATGTAACAACTAAATTTTCTTAATGACTGTCATTCCTATAAAAGACTAAGACCATGAGAAAGTTTACACAAACTTTTTGCTGCATATGACCTGTTTCCTTATATTCGTTTATTTAAGTTTTTAAAAATCATTGTTATAATATAAATAAACATCTCCAAACCCGATATCCAATATAATAAGACACCAACTGAATGCCGTAAATTAATCGGGCTATTTTAATGCTAAATTCTAAATAAATTACGTAATTAATTTGGCACTAGAGGTAAGCGTTAGGCGCCATCTCTTATTAAAATTAATAATTATAAATATATTAATTAATTTAAATAATTTGGAACCGCTGGGAGAAAAAATCGGCCCGGAGCGGGACTCGAACCCACAACTCCTGCTTACCGTGCAGATGCGTTGCCAGTTACGCTATCCAGACCGACGTTCCGATCTTCTCCTCCAGCGTATAACTATGTAACCATCGACGGTTATTACAATGCCGGCTGGGGACACATTCAGTGCCCACGTCCTACTCCTATAAGGCACTCAACCGGCCATCGCAAGCCCCGGCAAGGCGTAATATATAAATAAACATCTCCAAACCCGATATCCAAATTAATTACGTAATTTATTTAGAATTTAGCATTAAAATAGCCCGATTAATTTACGGCATTCGGTTGGTGTCTTATCATTGTTATAATGTTATTACAATATTTGATGGTGTGCTTTCTTAGAAGAGTTTCTTCAATTAATTTATTTGGCATAGCTAATTACAATTTCATTAACTTACCATTTTAAAAAGTTATTTTTCTATTTTGTATAATAATTACGTTTAAAGGCTCTTTTTGATCTTTTAGTTACAAAAGAAGATCAAATAGCATTAAGTACAGTAATTTAGCACTATTTAATCAATATATTAAAAAATTTAACCTCTCTTTCTTCTAACTTTTCATTATAATTTTAATTAAATTTTATATTTATTTAAAACATTCAATCAATCTACCTTCTTCACTAAAATATCATGTAAGCTCAGTTTAAGTAAAATCTGATATAATATGACAACATATTTTGTTTTAATCTGGAATGCTATCAAAAAACATTCTTCTAATGTTAAAATCAAGATAGCAGTCAATAAGATGAATATTTAATAAACAGTTCGAGTATTTTTGTTATTACAAAATACCTTCTTGATACCTTCAAAATACAAAATTTGATATAGACAAAAAATTAAAGTACAGTATTTGTATTAAGGTAATCAAAAACGACAACCAGATGGCCTAGCGGTTAAGGTGTTCCCCCTAAAGCCTATCGCTCTAGGGGGACCAGGGATCGAATTCGGACGGGTTGAAGATCTCCAGGAATTTTTCGGGGGTGATATCCGTCCGGATATGTCGGGTCAGGTCCCTCATCACATGGCCACTCCATTGTGGGCCTGGCCAAACCGATAATGGGCTTGCTAAAAGAGGCCCTCTTAGTACCCACAGGGCGAAAAGAGTTAATAATAATAATAAACAATTTAAATCTATAAAATTCAAAATAATTAGCCAAAGACTAAATTTGCAAATATTCGCAATTACTGTAGATATTTTTTAATTTAAAAAATGTTTTTGAGCTCATTAAAAGTATATATATAATACAGTCAAAACCCGTTTTTAGTTAGAACGCGTTTTAACTAGTTGAAACTAGTTTATNATTTAAAAAATGTTTTTGAGCTCATTAAAAGTATATATATAATATAAATGTTTGTATTTAATTTTCAAGACTTCCCATTTTTACTTTTCCAGCTTTTATATAATATAACAAAGGGGAAATATGGTCAAATCAGTAAAATTTTGACCCCTCCCGGTTTTTTTTCTTGCATTTCTTTGCGTTACTCAAGGAGCTCAGAAAAAGAATCTTACAAAATTGTGCTTTCGTTTGTGAGTTAGCATATATTTTGCATTATATATCAGGATTGGAGGAACCAAAAAATTTTCAAACTTGGCAGGGTAATTTCCATTTATGGGACATTGATGCTATTAAATTTTGATGGCTAGCTTAAAGGTAGAGAAAGAGAGAGAGAGAAAACGTGTCATATCTCGAGTGAGGTCAATGAAAGTTTTACTCGTTATTGGCATTTACAATTTTTTTTAAAATTCATATCTACCTTCAAAACTAAGCCTTTTGGCTTTTCATAATAATTAATATAAACATTTTAAAATAAAATCTCAACAAATAGCACCACACAAAATTTTAACTTTGTGCTAAAACGCCTTAGTGTTTTTCTAAACATAAATATATTGTGTATATAAATTTATTAAAATATATGTGTATTATATATGTANTTTTAATAAAATAGGTCATAATTTTAACCCCAAACACAAAAAAATGAAGATTAAACCGATTGTCTACTCGCCATGCTAGACGTAGCTACCGCCTATATCGACCATCCAGAATTGCCAGATGGCGGCGCTCGACGGTCCGCCGTTCATGTTTTGGGCTGACTACGACGGCCGCAATCTCTCTAATAAAAGCTATTTTTCTGAAAGTAGACTATAGAGTAGATCGCGTGCGAAACGCATGGTGAGAAATGGTCCTTATAGATGAATATCTTTTTGATATTTAAATTTATCGAGGTGTCAGTTTTGTAAGAAATTCTTTTAGATATTAATTTAAAAGTATTTTTCGTACTTCACATTTCACTAATAGTAAACTTGAATGTCTTAGTCGCCAGAATCGAAAGAATTTTATCGACTCAAACTCCACAACACTGGTTTTAGCTTCGAACGTTAAGTAATATTTTTAAACTTAAAATATTACTTTTTAAAAATAAAGAAATTTCTCATAATTCAACAAAATTATTCCTCTTAAGTTTTTATTAAAACCTTGATTTAAGGGATAAAATGTCCAGTGGATCTGTCATATGTGAAAATTATCACACTGTTAATTTTAAAATGCTTCTTATATGTAATGAGCAATTATTTATTGTCACATCGTCACAATGCCCGGCTGCAATTTTTAATTTATTTCATTTAAAATGTATGCTTCTCCATCTGAAGTTAGTAGTGTCTTGCCCCTATACATCATACTTTTCCGTTAGCAATGGAGCGGTGCCGGTCATCTAATTCCTTTCAGGAGGAAATTTTTGAATTAAATAACATGACTTCTAATTCGTACCAGAAGTCTTCTGATTCGTACCAGAAGTCACGTTAATTCATATGACTTCTGGTTCGTACCGGAATATAGTTAATCGGGGCTTCCTGCCCCTAATAATTCCATATCGCGTCTTGAATTTCACTTATCTAACATCGTTTTCGAGATTAAGAAAAGACGGACGGACGACAGTGGAAATTTATAGGTCTACAAGTTTTTCAAATTGCAGCCCAATTAGATTAACTGGTTATTTTTTCAAATCCAAAAGTCACCGCTCTTAACTGGGACTTTTTTTGTGTTTGCTTTTTTTGTCAAATTTAAATTTTGTTTTCATTTTAAGAACATTAATTGTATTTAACTAAACAGATAAATAAAGTATATTTTAAAGAGGCCATTAAACAGTTCACCAACACAAAGTGCATTTTCTAAAAAATGTTTATTTCGATTCAGATCGTATACTTGATTATTACTTAATAGTCTTAGAACTACGGCGATTACATGAACGTTAAAGATTTAATATCTTACTGAAAATTTAAATATTGATAATGCTATATTGGTGTTTCTGTAAAACATTTTCCACTATAATCCTGTAACTTTCAATATAGATCTTTTAGTCAATCAATAGCACTCATTTGAAAATACTTTTGTATTTAAAATTTGACCTTATTTAATATTTATAAGTTTCTTTAGTCATTTCAGACAAATATGATATAATGTGTTATATAAAATTGAGATCGTTAAATTTGATTAATTTACAAAATATTAGGCAATCTGGAAAAATTTATTTTGATAATGTATATTAATATTTTTATGTATTGCGTTTATCGTTATACTGTATGTACATAAAATTAAAACTTATCACCAAAAGTATAATATTCGAAATTTGAAAAAACATACTTGAAATTTTTAAAAACAGAAATGTACTTTACATTTAAGTACTGTATATTATTACATATCTATAAATGAAACTTAATAATAAGTATATTAAACAAATTAGAATTATTGTTTGCTTATTAAAAAAGTGTACTGTACACTAACAAATACCAAAGAACAGCAATGCATTGAAATTCATCTCTTGTGATTTAAATTTTTTTGAAGTTTACTTATGATAATTTATAATCATAAATGAAATACAGGATATTTCATATATTTAAGTAACGAATTACAATGAAGAAATAAAATTCTGACTGACAATTCTTCGAAGTATATATTATTTTATATTGATATTTTTTTATATATATAACTGTTTGTATTAACGAAATAAAAATATCGTACTTTTTTTTATTAGTAATGCTTTTGTTTAGTTAAAAGAAATAAACATTTAAGTAATTTATTATTATTATTATTATTATTCATTTTGGTT